TCAAATCTCTATCCTGACTTTATGTGGATTCAGATTGATTGATTGATTGATTGATTGATTGATTGATTGATTGATTGATTGATTGATTGATTGATTGATTTAAACAATGTGGCCATTCACACTTCTAAATGTATCGGGTTACTTATCTCCTGTGTGAACTGCGAGGAAGATTTTTTATTAATTTTTTTTCACAAAACATTTATTGTACAAATAGATCAAATTAAAACATTACATTCTCGGAAGTAAAAATACTAACAAATAAATAAATATTTACAATAATAATAATTTGTTATAATTTAGTTCCTTCCGATCAGAAATGGTGCACAATATACTGTAAGAAGAGGAAGAAGGAGAAGAAGAAGAAGAAGTGCTCAGTGTTTGAAGTAAACATGGAGGCTATAGTTGTCTTTCTACCAGAGGAATCAAATGAACAATTTAATCCTCATTCTCATCCATGGATGTTTGTTTTTCTTCCCGTTTGCGCGGATCGGGACGCAGAATAATGAAATTTGTCGCGTATCAATGATGTTCGCCATACAGCTTCATGTCACATTTTAAATTTGAATGGATTTATTTAGAACTACACATATAGCGGTTATATGTGATCGTAGCCTTGATTAACGGTGAAAACAGTAATAAAGCTCAGATGACTGTATCTGTGTCAGAAAATCTCTCTCTATTTTGCTTGGTGTCGTTGCTGTGGTGACAGAAATCCTCTTTGGTCAGGCGAGTGTGAACGGCTCACAAGTTCACACTCAGACTGTGGGGTGATGCTCTGAACGGCTCACACTCAGACTGTGGGGTGATGCTCTGAACGGCTCACACTCAGACTGTGGGGTGATGCTCTGCGGAATGTGAAAAGCTGCAGGACGAGTGCAAGTCATCTGAAATTTTATCATCTTGTCAACAATGTTTGATGAATGAAAATGAAGCCTGTGGATCCTGAGGGGCATCACACCTCCGAGTCTCTGGTCTCTGGTCTCTGAGATTGTAAAGTATGTGGTTCAGGTTTAGTACTTTTTAAAACGCACAAAGTAAAAGTGAAGTAAACAAGAAAACCAGGGTAATAATCAATTGTTTATTATCTGACTTCTATTCTTCCATTCTTTGTCATCTAATTTGCTTTTCATCACACAGCAGGGGAGCGATTAGCAAATTAGTAGCAGCTGTGAGGAGAAGAGCTAAAGGCAAATCTAAACAAAACTAACATGGAAATGCAACAAAAATGAGCTCAAACACAAATTCATCAGAGCTGAGACCAAACTGCACAGAAATCCATAAAACCGAACAGGATCTTTCATTAAGGTCAGAACAAAGTGATAATATCCCTCCATTCTGCACAGAAAAAGAGTTTTTATGGATATGCTAAAAGCTGCTGTTCCACAGGTTGGGACTTGAAACTGACTTTGACCTTTCCATCATGTTTGATTATGTTTTATGGGTAATTTAGTGTCCTTGCAGGCTAGTTTTATGTTTTAACTTTTGTAAAAGCACTTGGTACGACATTAGCTTGCATGCTCTATTCCTGACGTTTGAGGGAATAAAAACATAATGCAATGAAAAAGCAGCAGAAAAGCTGCAGTGCAAAACCCACTGGAAACTGGAAAAATAAAAAACATAACTTGAAAAAAGTCTCAACAGAAAACAAAGAAATTAACCAAAGAACATGGCATTATGTTAACCAGACTAATAAATTACTGAAATAATCGTCAGCTGATTTAGCAATTAATTCATTCTTAACTGAAGCAGATAAACCCAAAAATGCCATTTGTTAAAAGAACAGTCAGTAGAAATTAAGCCAAAGCTACACAAAACAATATGCATTTAGAATTTAAAATAAAAAAAATTCTAAATATTTTCTATTTTCTCTTTTTATTATTCTATCCAATTATTAATCAATTAATCCAAGAATTATCATTTTAAAAATGATCTTTTTATTTTTAGTTTTTTATTTGCATTTTTATTCATGCATTTCTGATGTTGTGTGGAAAAATGAAACTTTTGCACAATGTGACCATTTTTAAACATTTGATTAATTGATTAATCATCATAATAATTTATAACTAAAATAATCATCAGACTTTATAAATCAGAATCAGAGATAATTGTTAGCAATTATACAAAAAAGGATTTAGAGATTTAGGTATTAAAATAATTGTTACACTTAATAAACCAGAAAAAGAGATAAATTATTAGTAATTACAGAAAGTCAGAGCTGCGACATGATTTCAGGAACTATATCATGAAAAGAGCAAATAAGTAATTTGGTTGAAATGTCTCTGCTGATTCCTAACAAAGGTCAAGAAAATGATGATGGTTTATCGCAGAAAGCTTTCTTCTCAAAGCAACGGTGTGCGAAGAGCTTTTAGTCCTTTAAGGGAGAAGCAGGCAGGAAAGAGGAGAGAGTGTTGTGTGGGATGAATGTTTACACTTCACAAGTACAATGCCATCTGTCCGTCTGTGTTAGCGCATGTGTCAGACTGCATCAGACGCAGCCTGTGGCACTTTGGAGAAACACAGTGAGATGTTGCACATCAGTTACATGTTCAGCTCTCGGGTTTTATTAATGGGGCAGAGGACGCAGCGCAGAGTGCTGGCCGGTTACGACTAAGTGAATTATTCTATCTGAAGGAGAAACAGCTGATCTGTCCTCTGTAGCTGCTGTTTCTAAGAGCTGATATTGTATTTCTCCACAGGGAAGTGTGTGTATAAACAGACTGAGGCGCATTAAGGATGAACGCAGCGGGAGACGTGTCAGTAAATCTGTGTGTAACATGATTTAAACATAACCATAACCTGACAGCTGCTCATCTGTTTGGTAGCTGCAACTTTCACACAAAATGATTTAATAATGTGATCTTTGCTTCACTTCTTGCATTGAGTTATGACTTTCTGCTGGCAGTATTCATGCTATCACAACTTTGATATATTTTGTCATGTTGTGACGTATTTTCTGATTGTTGTGACCTAAAATTACTGATTTTGCAGCAACCTTTTGAAAAAGTTGCATTTTTTAAAGCTTTAATTTTTTCCATGACACATAACCTCCATAAAAAAGAGGATTTTAACATAAGACTGTTTGCTTCTGCACACTTAAACCAACTTAATATATCGATATATCAAAACATCTGCTATAGATTACTGTTCAATTGTTTTGTAATTTAAAAAAATATATATTTTAACTCTTCTGCAAATTTCAGCTCCATTGAAATGCATTGAATTTCTTCCGTATCCTACAGAATTCAACTGAAACTTTGAGCTCTTTGACCGCTTTCTACATCAACTTAGAAACTGCATTCAACATTTAAACAAATCCCAAGATATTTAGCCATTTTCATACAATTCAGCGTTTTGATATTTCTTACGGTTTTTCTAAAATTGTGCTTTATGTTTCCTGGTGATTTTTGTCCGTTTTTAGTTTTTCAGGGTCATCCAGTAAAACTTCACTGATTCTTCACAAACAAACTGCTTCTGTTTGCACATATTTCACTTTAAGGATATAATTTCTGCATCAAGACAAAGCCACAGGATTCTGCTTTCAGGAAATATAAACATAATTCCCATATGTCTCACAGTTTTCTTTAAAATACTTCTAAAGTGCAGGATTGCCACCTCTTCCTCCATTGGGCTCCAAGTAAAATATTCTCACCTCTGTCTCTCTCTTCAGGTCTTACACTTTTCTTTAATCAAATCTGTCAATTCAATACTTACATAAGGTGTAAATATGTACAATTTTCCTTCCATTTCACATTTATACACATGCTGAGAGCTGGAACTGGCGCAAATAACAAAGAACTGCAACGTGTGAAACATCTCAAGAGTCACTTTGAATGCTGTGAAGATTATTTTGTCCTAACAGTTTCAGAAGTTACAGAGTTTAGAGAATTTTAATTTTTATTTAAAGAATATTTTTGCATGTTTAGAACAAGTAAAGTACATAAAATGGAAACTATTTCAGTGCATTTTAATCCCCTTGTCTCTGTTTCACAGGGTTAATCTTTCTGACTCTTCTCAGATTCAAGCCAAATGTAGGGAAGAAGAAGAAATATTGGCTAAAGTAACATATTTTCGTTCACCTGGCTGTTAAAAATGGTGCACAAATTTATCACCATTGACTTAAAGCTAAAGACAGGCTGCATGTTTCCTGCAGGCACAGATGCAGATGCATGTGTTTCTCTTCCAGGTCATCTTGGATGTGGAGTGAGGGCACCCTGCTGTGCAGAGACATCAGGAGCCGCTGGACGCCTCCCAGCAGGCTGCAGCCTCTCTGCTGCTCCCCACCCTCCCAAAGCCTGTGTGCGCTCTGACAAAACGCGATAAGCCGAAGGGCATGGAAATTTCTTCAGGACTTAGTAAACTGCCTTTCTGTCTCAACCCGTCAGGATAACTGGAAGACACCAGGAGTCAAAGTTCAGCCAAAGAACCAATTTATATCCGGACAGAAACTTCTGAACCGGATCTGGAGACATTAGGAAACCAAGTGAAGGAGTTTTTGTAACGTTTGGATAAAAAACAAAATTTAACTAAATCAACTTGCAGCAACAATTAGGAGACTGTTTTAAGTCAACAATTCCTTAATATAGATGAAAAGTCCGAGATTCACTGGCAGATCATACAAACTATACATGGAAAAATGTAGTTTATATGTAAAGCACAAAATAAAATGCTAAAAGAAATTATATAGTGTTTGTTTGCTGTGCCACCCTAAGAAAAACCAGAAAGATGGATTTTTTTATTTCCACATTACATACAATTTTGCCACCTCAAAATCCTTACTCATCAGCTCTGGCCATCCCTTTAAAACATTTTCTGTTTCTCTGAAACAATCAGTTTTGAAGAATAAAAGTCTGTTTTTATTAACAATTTAATAAACCGTCATGTTGGAAATCATTTATATTCCTCTTAATAACCAATAAAGTACATAGTCTGACAGTAATCAGAATAATCAGAGGGATTGGATTACAGTCAATAAACTCACACACAGCTGCTGAACTGAATCCAAATATTTTATTTTTAGCTTCACATTTCAGGAAAAAAAAAAAACAAGTCGACAACCGGTAAGAATTAAAAGTGCAAATCTGCAGATTTTCTACTTCAAATCAGAAAACATGTTGGCTGCGTTGATGCGGCTGAAACCCAGAAGCATGTCCAATGTCGAAGCCTCTGGACCGTCCTTTTGGATCCCCACTGGGACTTCCTGCTGCGACCCGCCAGAACCCAGAACCTCTCAGGATGCGGGTCGGACCGAACCGGGTCCATCTGGTTGATCGGTTCTGAGCGTTTTACATCCATGGAGCCACAGCAGACGGCTCCTTCTGCACCTGCTGGGAAATGACTCAGCATCACACAGAGACTCGGCTGCACCAACTGAATGATCATTTTCACAAATAAAGAGCCGGTTATTTCAGAATATGTTCACGAAACCCAAATATTAATAAAGCTCTGAAAATTAAATAATATTGAGCGTCTTTTCAAATTCCTCCAGAAATTCATAATTGATTTTCTGGAGCTACTTTATAAATATCAGAAATAAATGTGGATTATTTATTCTTGCTGCATATATGACAGTAAATGTGATTTTGTTGCTGCAAAAACACAAAACCAGGTGAAATTGGTCAAGTTTAGTGAAAATATCTTACAATAAAATTAAACCTACTATTAACTTTCCACAAGATAGAAGAGCTTATTTTCAGGAATCAATAATTCCTTAATTTTCACTTATAGTAAGACATTTTTTCTTCTTATAAATAAAATACTTTTTTATTAATATTAATAAATGATTCACTTAAAATAAGATCAGATTTATTGCTGAAGAAACATATTTAGAAACTAGAGAAAACAGCACTTGGTAAGATTTTGTATTTTTTCAGTGAATTCAAACAAATTTCTGGTATTTTTACTTGCAATAGTGAGTTTATAAAAGCGCTATAAACTTAAAAACAAAATAAACTGAAGATTTGAGAACATCTTAAGGATGCAGAACAAGTTAAAACAGCAAATCAAACTTTAGCATTTTTTTATTTCTATTTTTCTCTGTGGACCCATCAACAGGATTTAACGCTTTAGTTTGATTTGTGTTAAATCTGAGCAGGTTGAGTGCATTGAATGAAAACATTTACAGCCAACTGTGAAGTGGGTTTAATGGCTGAGCCTGCATTACCGGCCGCGTGTTAGAAATCTAACGAAAACCATTTAAACAACAAAACAAAATTAATATTCCAAACAGTTTCTTCATATGAAGCATAAATGACTAACACAGCTTTGAAATTATTCATCCACTTCATGACAGGCTTCTTTAATACAAAGCAGAGCATTTTGTATAAATATGTTTGATTTGTTGCAAACATCAGAACAATTAAGAATACTTTTAGTACTGAATGAGAAAACTCAAGACACTAGAGATGCCAATAAATGTTTTAGCCCTGATTACCTTGTTCAGTTCTGGAAAAAGTTCTTGAACGACAATGTCCAGCAGCACATAGGTCAGCTAATCAAGGCAACAAGACAAAAAAAGCATAAACATTAAAACAAAAACGTATTTGGATACATTTATGTGACGTAACCGATTACCAAACACACTGTGTGTTTTTCCTGTACCTGTTTGTTGAGAACCGGCTGCTGCAGTCCATCGAAGAGGAGACAAATGCCCTCGTACTTTGCCTCTTCCCCAATACACTTTCCTAGAAAATCTAAAGAAATTCGCCCCGTTGAACAATCGTTTGATATGGAGGCAATGCACTGCATTCACTAATAATAAAATTAAACAATATAAAATGAAATAAATACCTGGAATGTAGCTCATCATCTCCTCGAATGTCCGCTTGGCTCTGCTCTGCTTGTCCTGCGCCGAGCGCGGCGGACTGCTCTCGCAGAAAACCGCGTCTGGAACGACATCGGTTCTGTTAGCGACGGCGGATCAGCCAAATAAATACTCTTTATTTTATACCAAAAAATAAATAAAAAGTCATTTTCAGCCAGAAAAACTGAAATTTTGAGATCTTGGAAATTTTCTAGAAAAAAATAAATAAATAACCCAGATTTTTTTCATATTAACTTTCTGAGATCGAATACAAAATCTGTTTTCTATGAAATTTTTCACTGTTCAGTGGCAAAAATTTTCTGGAAAAAAGAGAAAATTTTCTGAACTTCAAATGGCAAAAACTTTTGAAACTCAGAAATAAAACAAGTAAATTTATCAGCGTGAAAAGTCCAAAATTTGCTACCAAAAAACCTTTTTTGAGTTTCAAATGTCAAAAATTTCAACTTTTTAGCCCAGAAATTTTCTATTTTTTCAAGGAAATTTTAGAGATGAATTTGAAAATGTTGTAGTTATTGTTTTATCAGATGTTTGACCTTTGAAGCTCAGACATTTTTGATATCAATCTCAAACTTTAAGAGATGTTTAGTGTAAATTTTGGCCCTGGTTCGGCGTCGCGGTCGAAGGCCAAGCGCTCCAGGAAGTGGCTCGTTGTGCTTCCTGTTTACCTCTCAGCAGGGTGATGAGCGAGACGAGCCGGTGCTCCTGCACCACCAGGTTCAGTTTGTGCTGCAGGTAGTGATCTGTGTAGGCCTCCAGGCTGTTCTTGAACAGGATCCTGCCGCCCATCAGCAGGTGATGAAACCAGTCAGGGATGTGAAACACAACGCGACCTGCCGCAGGAAACATTTAGAAAATCATACAAAAACTTTCACAAAGTTTGGGGAGACTTTGGGACGTCCCCATTGTTGCATATTTTTGAGAGTAATTTTCTGTCTCAAGTCACTGATGAAGGTCACTGACGGCACAGCTCATTTGTAATTTAGCGTTTTAGTGTTTTTACTAAAGATAAATTATAAACTGCTAATTTACTAGGAAGTTTAGCAAACTTTCATCGAAATAATGTTCGACTTTTGTGTTCAAACTAGTTAGACGGTTAAATTTATGCTCTTATTTTGAAGTCTGTTTACGTAGCAGATCTGTTTCCTGTACAACAAATATATGCAGAATAATACAACATGAACAAAATGCAGGAGTTAATGAAACGCATGTTGTGACAAATATTATAAACATTTAGGATTAGCATTAGCTTAGCCTTAGCTACAATCTTATATTATGCTCTAATTAATTGTATTACTTTTTAATTCTCTGCACTTTTCATTGAACTTAACTTCAGACATAAAGACAAGCTGCTCAAATTCAAGTGTTTGAATTTAAATATTTGCTTTTTTTTTATGGAACTACATTAAACAGTAACACCTGTTTGCTTATCCCACCTGAGCATAAACAGGGAATGTTTTAAAGTCAAACTGAGTAAAAAAAATGTTTTGTTTTTTTTATCAATTTAATGTAAAACTCTGATTTGACCTGCAGTTGTGCTGGACAGATTAGATTTACTTGAACTTACCGACATACATTAAATAATCATAAACTCCTTCGACAGTGATCATCTCCATGAAGTAGTTCTGGTTGTGCCTCTTCTCCGTCACTTCGGATCGGTTGGCGTTGTTTTTGAAGAGATCGTTGAAGAGCTGCAACACATTTTGCACTGAAGAAATTTTACAAAGTCCCACAGACTCTCTATACGAATGCATGCATTGAAAAAGGGCTAAAATGATTAATCAATTAATCGTCAGAATTAGATTAATTGATTACTAAAATAATTGTCACCTGCAGCCGTGGTAAAAAAAAATGCTTTTCTTTTTTAAATTTGTAATATTCTGAGCTTGAATAAAAAAGGTTTAAGAGAAAAATCTGTTGAATATTTTAAATCTGATTAATTGTCAGAATAAAAGATTAACAAGGAAATAAAATATCTGTCAGTTGCAGCCCTGAAATGAAAACAGTGAAAAAGTTGGAACCTTTTTATCGTTTTCTGACGTCGGACTGAGGATGGTGAGTTCGGGTCGGCTCGGTTTGGGTTTGGGAGATTCACAGGAGTTGAAGAAGGACTGGATGAACGGCTCCAGGTGCTGCCCTTTCTGAACAGGACATGAAAACAAATAACAAAAACACACAAAGGAGATTAATATATAATAATAATATTTGTAAAGTAGTCTGTTTTATTTCAAATAAATAAATTAACAGTTTAACAGTTCTGAGCAACAAAACATCAATAATGTATTTCTTTTAGCTTAAGCTCCAAACATTTTACTCAATGGGTGAAATAGAAAAACTCAGGGTGAAAAAAGTAAAAGAAGACAAAGAAACAAAGAAAAAAGAGGAAAGAAGGAAGAAAGAAAAAAAGAAAAGTTGATAAAAACAAAAAACAAAAAAAGACAAAATTTTGACATTTGATGAATTAAAACTGAGTAGAATATATAAGTATTCTAAATATTTTTAAATGAAATCCCTGTACAATTTTTATTTATTGACGTCTACACTTTAAATTGAAAAAGATTCATCGTGTGGTGATTCTTTGTTTTTGCCCTGCAGATAAATATTCCTGCATAAACTGACATTTTCTCCAGATTTATACTGAAACTAATGAGACTTTTTTTAAATCAAAACCAGGGACATAAACTCTCCTGTACCTCTTTTATCAGTTTGCTGGGCACTGCCTTGATGATTTTCCCTGCATAAATTAAAAAACAATATAATTATGATCCATTTCTTCTCCACTTTGCCCAGACGCAGCTTCACTCTCCCGTCGCACCGAGGTTCACATCCGGCAGCATCTTGTCCAGGAACTGAGACTCCATGCTGTGAGGAGACAGGAAGTCGGCCAGCAGCTGGCTGTTGCTCAGCTCCGGATGCTGCAGAAGTTTCTGCAAAAAGTACAAAATACAAGCAGGTAGTGAAGCAGATTAATACCAATACCAATTAACTTAAAGTCATTTAGGTCTTTTTACTTTAGCTTAGCATAAAGTTCAGGTTTTCTGGTGCTTGAATCAGTTTGTTGTGCAATAATTATCCAAGTTGAGGCCATTTAAAATGATTGGCTTCAGGATCACCGGGGTGAATTAAAAAAACTAGTGATGAAAAAGAAATCAACGAAATTCAAATTGTTCAAAACATTTGGTTGACGGCAGATTAGGCTCTTCAAACTGTTTTAAATCCATCATTTGGGTTTTGATTTAACGTTTAAACACAAATCTCACAGAAACAAAACAGCATTGAATGATTTATGGGATTAAAACGGCTTTCAAACGTAAAGCTCAATTTAGGATGATAGAAGCAGAACAATAATGTTTCTGCTGCCGGGGGAAATCAGGCTGCAACCAGCGGTTACTTCAGTTTTAATTGACATTATCTATTATTCTGATGATTTATTCATTTTATATTTAAAGTCATTTATATCAGGGTGGAAATGAGACAAGTTTTGAATTTTCTCCTTTATCTACCTGAAGATACTCCTCAAACTCTTCCCGCTTGGATGTCAGAAACTCGTAATTCTTGGGGCCAATTATTCTCTTGGAGGGCAACTGGGCATCTGGAAATGAACCTTTAACGAAGATAAAACTGAAAAATTAGTGCATGTAAAAAAAAACCTGACAAGAAATTACATTTCAGTGTCTTAGGTCTAAATAATAAAAAATTTGCAAAAATGCACAAAGTGAAGCAACAATAATTGAAAAACTTGCCATGAAATTCAGTGAGCTTTGATTCGAGGACGTAAAACTCCAGATATCTCCTGTAGACCGACCAGTGCTCAGTTTCATGACCCACTATTGGAAACCAAATATTAAAGATCAGAAAATCAGACGAGAAACTTTTGATGAAAACCTAAAATTTCTCAAATTATTCTCAGTCCAATTTGCAACATTTCCAACACTGCTTGTTTCATCTTTGTCTGATATGTATAAAATAACTATGACATTGTATTAGGACCATTTAAAAAACTGTTGAGATTTTCTGAAATTTTCAATACAGAAAAAAAAGTTGAAATTAATCTCTGAATTTGTCATATAAAAAAAATCTGAAATTTTTAAGATTAATTTCAGAAATTTTCTAAAAGGATATTTTAGAGTCTGAACATTTTCAAATTTGCACATGAAAAACTGAAATCGAGCTTAATCTCATACTTTCTGAGCTTCAAATATCAAAAATGTGCAAATAAAGGTATTTTTGAATGAATCTCAAATTTTCTAGAAAAAAAGCAAATTTCTGAGTTGCAAAAGTCAAAAACTTGCGAGATTCAGATGTTTTTAAATTATCCTCATATAGATTTTAGAAATAACTTACACAGTAAAACTGCTGGATTAAAAACAACCCAATTTGCAACCAAACATGGACGACTCCACGCTGGTTTGGTTTGAACTTGAAACTCAAAATTCGAGTTCCAAAAGTTGAGAATTTGCAAGAAATAAAACCAGAAATATTTAGATGACACAAAGAAATATTTTAGAGAAAAAACAAGGACATTTTAAAAAGTCCAAAATTTTCAACATCCGAAACTGATTCAGTCAAAAACTTGAGAGAAAAAAACTTTTAGATTATTCTCAAAAATTTTCTAGAAGAGTTTCAAAAGTTGACTTCTCCCCCTAGTGGGCTGAAGGACTTTTCAACTTGTGAAATTTTTGGCAAAACTTTACTACGAATTTTTTACAACACGCCATTGTGTATACCTGACAAAGTTTACAGAACAAGAAACATAACGCCCTCAGTTGACCTGCTTTCCTGTCGTTGCGCTCCACGTCGATGCAGAAGACGGGAATCCTCTCTCGCTTCACGTCGTCGTCGTAGAAGTCGATGTACGGGATGGTGATGTTCCAGGCGGAGAGGTTTCGAGGCGTGCTGGGCGTGGAGGCCGCCTCCATCGGCGAGTCGTCCTCCAGAACCATCATGGCTTCCTCGACCTGCAGTTAAAGATGCACCAGGTGTCAGCCATTTTGTAACGCTGTAATCTTCTCCCTCTCTCATTACCTCGTTTTCCTATCACATAAAAGCCACTAGAGGAAATAAAACTTTTTTTTAAAAAAAGTTTACTTTACTTTACTGCAAAAACACAACCTCTTAAAGGCAAAACTTTGCCAGAAAAAAAATCTGAAATTTTGAGATTTATTTCAGAGATCTTCTAGAAAACAAATTGGAAATTTCTGATTTTCAAAAGTCAAAAATTTTCCACCTATGAAACTCAGAAATTTGCAAGTATGATCTAGAACACTTTAGAGATTTTTTTTTCTTGCAAATTCTTTACTTTTCAATCTTAGAAAAAACATTTCCAAGATTAATATCAGAATTTCACAATGGGAAGGATATAATTAAGGAGGGAAGAAGGGAAGTTAATAAGGATGAAAGGAGGGACTAAAACCTGAAATATTTTCTGCGTTGCAACAGTATCTGATTTCCTTTACTCACTCTCGCCCCCTGCTGACAATGACCTGCCAGCCTGCAGATAATGACCCTTCCTTGATAAAATGTTCAGGATTTTCCAGCTGAGGCAGCCGGTCTCACCATGTCGTCCTCTCCCTCCACCTGGCCGTAGGACGGCAGCATGGCGCCCTCCATGGTCGTGCTTTTGAACACTCCTTTGATCTTGCTGCCGATGCGGCTGATCCCGAACGACTCGCCCCTCTTCGACGTGTTCCTGCAGAGCCAAGAGGGTGGAGAGTGGATGATGATCGACCGACCGAGGCGCCGCTTCAGCAGAGCACATGCAGCCAGAGAGGCTAAAATGATAAAGCAGCAGAGGAGGGGCGAAGCTCCCCAAGACGAAATGCCACTTGTCTTACGATGCCAAAAACTCTGCTGGCCCAAAGCAAAAGCAGTTACAAAGCAGTGAGAGTTGGTTTCACACGGTCCGATCCGGGAGCTTCAATCACTAACAAAGGAATTGTGCTTGTATTAATTAATCACAAGTCATCCACAAAACAAAACAGACACTCTGAGTCTGGCAAAAACACAAAATATCACCAAGCGCTTTGGTTTGGATTCTCGTGCAAAAACCTTGAAATAAGACAAAAGTAAATTACAAGTAACTTTTCAGCTACATAAAGAAGATTGTTTCCAGTCAAAACTTCCCTAATACTGATTAAAAGTAATGCTAGTTCAACTGGCACATTATTTCACTCGTTACAAGATGTTTTTCCCATAAAATGCATGAAATAATCTACAACGGTTTATTACTGTAATTCCAATACATATGGAAATAACTAGGACACAAAAAACTGAGAAACTTTGAGACTAATGTCACAAAAACACTTGGACATTAGAAAAGATGGAAATTTGCTCAAGAAAAACTTTAAAACTTTCTGAGTTTCAAAAGTCACATATTTCCCAGAAAACCTCAGAAATTAAATAAATAAATAACTTGGACATTTCTATGTTTGGAAAGTTTACATTTTGAAAAATATCAAAATTTGTTTGTTTTTTTTAGAAAAATTCAAGTTTCAAATGTTGAAAAATTTTCCATTTGGATTTCAGAAATTTTCTTGTTTTTTCTACAACATTTCTGAGATAAATCTTTTTTTTCTTGCAAATTTCTGACTTTTCAAAAATGTGAACTCTTAAAAATGTTCTTGTTTTTTTCTAAAATAATTTCTGAGATTAATTTCATAATTTCAGATTTTTTGGGTCGAAATTTCCCTCCTTTTTTCTGTCTACACTGACCCCAAATTGCTGTCTGAATAACCTGCCAGTGGAACATGTAATTTTTATCAATATTATTGATTTAAAGTAAGTCCATATTTCTTGCTGAAAAGTTACTTTTAAGTTGTGTCTAATTTTAAGTGCACTAAAATATTCAGACTAGAAACTAGACTAAAAATACTTGGTAAGATTTTGTTGGTTGAGAAACAGAGCACACGGGTTCAAACCCAATTAAAGAGACAAGTCACTGCATTGTTAGAAATAATAGAGTAACAGCAGGTTTCCATGCAGTTGGCCTACCATGCAGGCGTCTGGGTGGGACTGGGGTCACATGAGGGGACATGGAGGGGGATGGACAGCATGACATCACACAGATGGACCATGACTTACTTGGGCGATGAGTGGCGGTGGGTTTGCGAGCCGTATGGGAAGTTTGTGAACGTGGACTGGGCATGGAGGGAGCTAAAGGATGCAGGTGAGGAGCTGCCAGAGGCGGTGAAGAGTGAGGACGGGGACTCGGGGCTCCAGTCCCAGGAGCTACAGGCAGAACAGGGCCAGGTCCCCCGCGGGCCGGTGGGGGAGAGGACAGGGCAGGCAGTATGGTAGTCAGGGAATCATAGTGGACATTCAGGGTGCATTCACACCAGCCCAGTTTGGGCCGCTTTAACTCCGATCCATTTGCCTAGAAAGTCCAGTTATAGACTAGAAACTTCTCGGTCTCGGTTCGGTTGAGATGAACTCTGGTGCCATTGGAATTTATACTTGAACACCAAGTGGACCGCCCCAAAACCAGAAAGCGGACTACAGCACAAGGCATTCTGGGTAAATAGCAAAACAAACTCACTAGCCTAGCATTAGCAGGACAAATGGCTTGTCGTCTTTTACCAACGACAAGAGCGAAATCATCCAACCGCTAAAATCTGATGCTACTTTATTTTTGTTAACATTTCACAATTAGTGTCTGCTTCAGAGCTTTTCATGTAATTTCCTCCAGTGAGTTTTTGGTGCAGCGCCCCCACAGGTGGGGAGGAGAACAACACAGAGGCCAACTCAACAACAAAAAATGAGTCAGGCTACAATTATTTATTTTTTTATTATAAAAATAAAATCAAAGTAATACGAGAATAAAGTCTAGTCTTAAGTGAACCGGAATACACAAGTAGACCAACTTTCATTCATATTTAGGTTTTCAATAGATAATATTAATCAACAAGTGAAGCGCACACACACACAACAGCCATCTTTCTGAATCTCCCCATCAAATAAACTCTTATTTAGGAGTAAAATGTTGAATGTAATGAATTTATGAATGATTATTATACAGCTAAAATGCTAATGCTAATGCATTCGACAGTATTCTGAGCCAGCGCCCTGGTCAGGCAAGGAAGAAGCGTCTTTTATATGATGCGTGCGTCCCTGTTAAGCCAGTCACGGGTTTGGTCAACACACTGATGCCTCATACTCACCGAATGTCATCCAAACTGACGCTATTTCTGGAACAATATGCACAAGGAGTTAGCTACCTACACATCATTCGCTGTGATGTTAAATTAAAGCTAGAGCAATCCAATCCCAAGTCTCTGGTTAAACTCTGTTGGTGCACGGTCTGTGGTTTTACAAGACACATCTAAAATAACAAATCCTTTTATAATGTGCACATTATTTCCTTCAATCAGGATGTTTTGACTCGTTTTAATGACTTTCACGTTGACAGAGAGACTGTTTTGGCTGCTGCAGCACCTCGTCTTTCTGTCGTGTGACCTGGAACTGACTTTCCTAGATTGTTTTTCATTTAATTTTAATTTAAGTTTGTTTATTTGACTAGGACAGTGCATATTAATCAATGTTGCCACAATTCATGGCAGCATAAATTTGCAGGAATTAGCACAAAAGCTAATTTAAACTGGTTTATGTCTGGAAGAGCTCCACAGAAAGCAGCTGAAACACTGATGATGAACAACTTAAACATAAAAATGAAAGTATTAGTTTTATAAACTTATTTTGAAAATGACATATTGAATTATCAACAAGACGTATCAAAACAGAACAAACATGCTAATGTTAATGCTGAGCCGCTTTGAAGGCAACTCTGACTTAGTCAGATAAATTATTCTAAATATCATTTTGCTAATCCTAGGAGATGTACAATGGGAAAGTTTAGTCTGATTTAATGTTAAACATTGAGAAAAATGTCTTTTTTACAGTGCATGTAAAAATCCTAGTTTTTACTGTATTTTAGATGCAATCGTAAATGATCGAGACTAAAGTCAAATGATGTGGACATAAATGATGCAGCAGATAACAGATCAGAGATCCAGTGGGTCATGACCTCTGTGCTATGATAAACAAAATACCGCATGTCGAGTTTGGATGTTTTGTTGCATCTAATTTATTAACATTTTTTACATCACAATGTTACACTAAGTCATTGTTAATTTCTATTGATTTTTAGAGCTTTAAAAAGAAACTGATGATAAGCTAAAACCTACCTGCTCATCTTTGAGTTCCTGGCCGGAGACTCCGCCCCCCTCAGAAGCTGTCGAAAGTACTGCAGGAAAAAACAAAGTCAGTAATGACCACTTTGTAGGTTTGCTACAGCATGTAAGCTAAAGCACTACGTCGGCAACTGTAGTACTTAGAAATCAGATTTTAAAAATGTCATTATCCCGAAAAAAATATGACAACTGCTGACTGCGGACAATGTCTGATGTCAAGGCTGGAAGCAGATGTGCAACTATATAACTGTACATCTTTGAAAAACAGAAGTGGAGCCTCCTGCACAGCCAGCAAGAATGCAGCAGGTGGTTTCTAGATAGTAAGTCAACAACAAAACACTTGTCTTTTCCAGCAGCCATCGTACAGAGCACACCGTGATAAAACCAACTGACCAAATGTGCTGCACCCCAATTTTGGTTGCTAGGTAGCAGGCGGGACTCTGCTGGGGTAGCTAGGTAACGAGCTTTGCTTCACTGGGGTCACGAGGTGAGGGTGAGGGTTAGGGGTTAGGGTGAGGGTTAGGGTTAGGGTTAGGGTTAGGGGAGGGTCAGTGCCCGCTGAGTTGCGCCGATATATTGCAACAAAACATTAACTCACTGCCAGAAAAGCGCCAGGTGTTTGTTTTTAAGTGCCTGAGCCGTTTTCAAGAGAAGTTTGGAACCAAATGGAAGTACAATAATTGGTAAACTGTGAATTTTTCATAATATGTATCCGTTGAAAGTCTTTTTATTAACTGAGATTGAAAGCTGTGGTGAAACCATTGATTTCCTGCTGCAGTTACTGACCTCGTCGCTGTGACAGAACATCGGGGTGAAAACATTTTCCAGGAGCGACAGAACGTGCTCATAGGCTTCGAACAAACACCTCATGGTCTGCAGTTTCACCACCTGTGCATACGGGCCTTCGGCAACTGAGACCACAAAGAACACAGAAAAACAGATACATGCAAATGATCTGTTAGATTTTAATATAAAATATCTCATTTAACTTACTGTCTTATTGGTCTGTCAGATGCACATGATTTACGTACTGTTTCTGATTTCTTCCACTATGAATGGGTCGAAGCGGATCTTGTCAATGCTCTCGTCCAAGCAGTAAGTCTCGTAGATCTTCTTCACCTCTTCATGCAGCATCATCTTCTCCGAGTCCGACAGCTCCGGGCACAAAATCCTGTCGTTGAATTCCTCTGGGAAGTCGGGAAAGTCGGACACAACCGAGTCACTGCGTGCAAGACTTTCATGGGACAGAACTGCAGCTGGCGTATCGATCTAAATATCGATACCAAGGTAAGTATTGGTATCGGATAAACATTTTTATTTAGTTTCTCTTCCATATGTCCAGCAAATTACTCAAGTTGGTGCAGGAATTAAAATGCCAAATATCAAAAACTTGCATTTAAATTTTATACTTTTGTATGAAAATTTGCATTCAAAACTTTTACTTTCTTTCAAATACAATCTGTCTCATTCCCCATAAGCACAATTTTATCATCATCATCTACTCAGCTGACAAAGAATACACTTTTGTAAAGATATACATCTGAAAACTAAAAAATGAAACTACCCTATCATTCTACCTTGAACAGGTTACGATGGGTCTGCAGGTCACACAAAACATCTCCATTACATTTTTTTTCACAAAATCATTCTTGACCGCAAACAAATGAATAATTGTACATGCATCTTTGAAAAGCAAAAATGGAGCCTCCTGTACAATCAACAAGAATTCAACAAGTGGTTTCTGGATGGAAAATCAACAACAAAACACTCGCCTTCTCCAGAAGCCATTGTACAACACATACAATGCATACAGCATGCAGAAGCATTTGAGATCCAAATGAAAGTACAAAAATGTGCGAAATGTAAATTTATTCTCCACATTTTCAAATTATTCAATGACAATGTCATTTTTTCAGTACTAGATATGCTGGCCCTGTATGTTTTTGGTACCAAGTATTCTCCTGATACTTTGTATCAGAAAACTTCCAAGTGTCGTCTCCCTGCACAAAGTGAATTAATCGACCTGTTTTTGTCCAAGAGTGAACAGGAAACACTCACCTACAGCGAGACAGAACTGGAGGACGTGAACGGCTCCTTCCTGTTTGAGGAAGTTCATAAAACGAAACAGGAGGTCCTGCTGCTCTCTGATTTCCTTCAGCTCCAGCTTGAGCACCTGCTCCAGGAAAAGCAGACAGTTCAGGTGCTAATTTGATGATATAGTTAATAATTTATCAATATTCTATATGAAGAGCAAAGCACTCACCGAGGGCTTTTTGTTACGAGAATCCGAATATTTCTGTAAGAAGGGAACCAGTGCTGAAGTTGGCTCTGTAGCTTCTTCAGGCTGAAGAGATAAAAATACAGTAAATTCATTATAAAATTACATAAATTCATTATAAAATTACATGAATAATACAGGTATTATATCTTAATACCTGTCAGCAGGTATTAAACTATAACTATACTATAGTATATCTATACTTTGCATTTGATGCACACTTTTGTATTTAAAAAAGTGGTTCACTGATTGATTATTTGTTATTTCGGTTGTTTTGTTTATTTTGGATATTTAAAATGTTTTCTAGTTCTAGTGTTTTAAAGTTTAATGATCTTTGATAATGTGTTCTGCATTACAATGACCTGACAGTATCAGTTAGAAAAAAATATATCAGAAGCCACCAGTCAGATTAGCTAGCTATCGAGCTAACTAGCTACAAAGTTAGATAAATACCGTATTGATCCCAAAGGGGGGAAATTTGTTTTTTAGACATCTGTGATCGGCCAGCAAACTGCAATCCGTGCACCTCTGATTTTAAATGATCATATTTTCTACCAACTGTAGGCAATAAAAATCATAATTAACAGAACTAAATGGTTGAAAACAGCCTAATTAATCTATAGCATTATACAGTTGTGCTTTCATTGACTGCATAATGCACTTGTATAAGGTGTTTTTTTACTTGGCAATCGGAATAGTTTATTCACATCACATTTAACAGAAACACCACAATTGTAAAATTTGTGGAATATCAACAATGTTTTGCTTACATTTGTAATGGAGAGGCAGCTTTTCATTTAAATAAATTGACTGTATTCTTATTTATTAAATATGTTTGTTAATAAATTCTAACTGAAACATCAAGACAGAAATAAAAAACATTCAATTTGAACAAAGGTTGAACGTACTCACAGGGGAATTGTCGATAAATATTAAAATTAAATGATTCACTGTGTCCTGCAATGGAAACAAAACATATCGTCTATCAGCAGGAGGTTTGAAGTGACAGCAGCTCTTCATGGATCTGAACTCACCGGGTCGGCCAGATAGTCCATCGAAGGCAGGAAGACAGAACCGGCCAGAACTTCTCTGATCAGCAGAGTCAGAGATCTGTTGGAGATTATTTGGTTTTTGCAGTGAAGTCAGTTTCTTTCACAATATTTATTAAACGAGTTTAATAAGTTGAATAAAAGCTGATTTGGATGCAGCAAAGTCAGATTTTCAGTAAAAGTTTCTGTACAGAGGAGATTCTACTTATTCCTAGAGTTTGGCTAGAAAAACAAATACTTTGTGCTGCACTTAAGTTTGATGTCAAAAATAATTTTACCCTGATTAAAATTGTTTTTTATCATTCATGAAATGCAGTTGTGGGTAAAATCAGTCCATGAGCCACAAACGGGCCCGGGCCGCACTTTGGACACTCCTGCTTTATTTGGTAATTAAACTCACATTTTGCTGCATTGGAAACACAACATTAATGTATTTTAGTTGAATTTTATGAAAGAAAAAATTTAAGCAATGCAAGTTTTAAAGTGGGAAGGAAAGAAGACATTAAATTTATCATTTCTAAATAATACGCATAATGTAATTCCATCTGAACTTATAGACTTTTACTCGTTCTTATTTGGAGATTAAATAAAAAAGGATTAATTTACACACAACTTTGGGCACTGCAGTTTGTATATTTTGTGCCGCTACCTGCAGTTTGTACATTTTGTGCCGCTACCTGCAGTCTGTACATTTTGTGCCGCTACCTGCAGTCTGTGCCTTTGGGCGGCAGGATGTAGGGGAAAAGTATCTCAGTCAGCTTCCTCAGGTAGAGCAGTTCATCTCTGCGGCTTCGCAGCGCCACATGGAGATCCGGGCCCAACTCATCCAGCGCTGCTTGTTGAAGATACTCTGCGTTCTTCACTGCTCCGGACAACAAAACGTAAAGTTACACCTGCAGTACCGATCGCGACCTAGAGGAGGCAGTGTGCTGAAACCAGGAAGACCTTTCTGTCTGGCTTTGCTGATGATTTCAATGTGTTTCATGGAAACTTTCAGAAGCTTTCTAGTGATGAGTGAAGCCACATCCACCTTTGGGGAAACAGAGAAAAACAAGATAAAATGTTATTTAGGGTTAGGGTTAATGTAAAAATAATAATAATGTTAGATTATGTTACCTTTTGAATTCGGCGCACCAAGACAGCAGCAAGGAAGCGTAACGTCACCCTCAGCTCATCAACAAATGAGTCGTCATCTGTGATTTCTCTGGAAATCATCATCGAGTCACTTCAAATCGAGCAGCATCACATTTTACACCCAAATAGAAATGTTAAAGCTGCTGGGGTGGCTCTACAGGCCATTCAAAACATTCATCAAGTTTTTTACCCAAGTAATTTCAGTCGGTTTCACTCTGCCTATTTTTAGCATTAGGGCGTCCTGTCACTTTAAATCCAAATGAGCTGCTGCTGGCCACGCCCCCAACTCAAAGTTTACATTGTCTTGTAAAAAACTACCAAATTTTAGTATATTTGGCTTACTGTCTAGTGCAAATATGTTAGTACACTGACAACAACACAAAACCAACTGATAAGTAACTTTTCAGCATAATATGAGATTTTTAAGTCAATAATTAAGTCAATAATTCTTTGGTATTGATAAAAAGTACTAGTTCCACTGGCAGATTATTTCACTTATAACGTTTTCCCCGTGTTAAATTTGAAAAAAAATGACCAGTGGCAACAAATACCTTTTCATCAATATTAAGGAGTTATTGACTCAAAAAAAAAAAAAAAAAAAAGAAGCTTCCGTATTGTTCTGAAAAGTTGCTTCTCAGTTAGTTTGGTCTTATTGTAAGTGAACTAAAAAACTTGCAATAGAAACTAGAAAAAAAAAGTTAATATTTTGTTTTTGCAGTGCAATAAGTGGTTTCTGGGCGTCTTTTCCAGCAGCGCATACAGCGGTAAAACGTTGCTAGGTAACGGCGTTGGGCTCTGCTGGGGTTGCTAGGTAACGGCGTTGGGCTCTGCTGGGGTTGCTAGGTAACGGCGCAGTGTGCCGTTACATTTTGTTTTTTTTGAAACAGACAAAATTAATTTACTTATTACCAAAAACATGGCTGGGTGTTTTTAAGCATTTGGCTGTTTTTATGAGCAGCTGTGACCCAAACGGAAGTACAAAAAAAAAAACAATAAAAAAATGTATTTAGCATAATGCCTCCGCTTTAGCATAATAAAACCCTACCTGTACCAGGGATAAACCACATTCTCTAAAACAAGCTCCAGAATCTGTGAAAAATAAAAATATTACATGAGATCAGTGGATTCAAAACAGCTTTTATTGTTTGTTTTAATCATGATGTCACACCTCAGACAGAGAGGCATCCACCTTCGAGGGTATTTTCAGGTCAAGCCAGGGCTGATAGTTTTCCAGCAATAAAGTCGGTCTGGGAAGCAGAAAAATCACAGAATTGCACACAAAGAGCTGAAGTCATTTCTGACCACTAGCTGGCGCGAGCAGTTTTTATTTCTTTGGCTCCAAGTCTGCTTGTCGTTTAAACTGATCACTGAAGTTCTCTCACAAACCTCCATCTTCATAAAAAATATATACTTAAAGATTTTAATATGACAAAATGTACAGGATTATTTTAGCGTTATCAGACTAAATTGGGTTTAAAATAAACACTATATGTTGGTTTTTTGTTATTATTTGTAAAAAGGATTAGAAACTGTTTATTACTGTATTGTGAGGCATATTTAAATCTATTTAAATGTAAATATAACAGATTAAAACTTGAGGTTGAATTGCGACAAAAAGGGAAAACGTTTCAGGTTGTTTACCTGTGTCTTTTGCATTTAATCTTTCCACACACAGCGCAGCTGTGGCCCAAAGGAAACAGCTCCTGCTGGAAAGACTGGGACAAATTAACTCACATTATTAACCTGTTGCAGTAACTAAACATAATCAGTTTTACAACAGTCTCATCAGATTAAAAAACAAAGAAGGGGTAATTTTCACCAAAAACTGTAGCACTGTTCCAGCAAAACAAATGGTGGAAATTTCAAAGCTTTTTGATTTTTCAAACTCAGAAGTCTTTCTAGAAAATTTCTGATATTTCTAAGTTTCCACTCGCATATTTTCAACTTTTCTAACTCAGAAATCCCTTCATTTTGTCTAAACAAATTTATGAGAATCTGGGTCTTTGCTCACAAATTTTTGACTTTAGGAGTTTTTTATAGCAAATTTGCAATATTTCAAAATCAGAAATTTTCTCCTTTTTTACAGAAAATCTCTTAGATTAATTTCCAACTTTTTTTTTAATTTAGCAATTTACATTTTTTTCTAGAAAATTTCTGAACTTAATCTCAATTTTTTTAGCTAATTTTTACATTTTTGAAACTCAGAAATTTCCTTGTTTTTGATAAACAATTACTGTGATTAAAGCAAACTGACTATGGAGCAAATTTTTAATTTTTCAAAGTCAGAAAATTTCTTGTTTTTTCAATTTTTTCTGAGCAAATTGACAACTTGTCGAACGCAGAAATTGCCTTGTTTCTTTTGCAGTATCAAGATTTCTGAAATTTTTGGTGGAAAATTTTCTCTTCCGCTTTGATTTTTTAATCCAGGTCGTAGTAGTCTGACCAACCTTTGTTTTTTGTTTAATGGACATGAATATGTTTGGCAGCAGAGACTCGGGACCCAGTGAGCAGTAAAAAGTAACCACACCCGCCAGGAAGGACCAAAACACCATGATAATATGAATATATCTAAAAACAAAACAAATCACATTGTCAATGCTCACATGCCAAACAAACATTACATCATCCCAGGTCATCATGTGATGCGTTCAGGGACCCCATGCGACGTTGACTTGCCTGTTTAGCAGCAGAGTGGTCAGCAGTAAGAGCAGCAGGAGAAAACAGAAAACCGGGTACTGCCTGCCGAGCTCCTTGACCCGGTCCAGCTTCATCCCGCGGCTTGTCAGCTGCAGAAAAGCTCGGATGCTGCTCATCCTCCCTATAATCCAGGAAAACCAGAACACGCTGCAGCGTCGGGTTCTGGGATATTTACTGCATTTTATCTCTGAGTCCAACACTTACCGCCGGTTTACGGCCGAGCAGAGGCAGGAAAATGACACAAAGGTTGCTGGATGGCTGGATGATCAGCGCAGGCGTGGTGGCCGTGCGCAGCTGTCGGGATTAAGATCACGCAGCAGCATGGTTCCTCCCGGAGCAGCGGCTCTAATGGCTGCGGTGCTGGCTGTCAGCCCGGTCCGTTCCGGTCCGGTCCGGTCCGTGGAGGGACTGCCGCCTGGTTGTCAACACCGGAGACGCGTGATGTCACCGCGCTACGCCGCCTGTCCGGCCTCTGGCTGCTGCAGTTCTCACCAAACGCTGCACCTTCCCGACATGCGGGGTTTTTTCTTTATCTGGGTGAACGCGCAAATCATGAGGCGTTAAAATATTTTTAAAAGTTGGTATTCCATTAAGTAAGTCATATAAATTTAAGCTAAATAAGTTGTTTCTCTTCTTTGTGTTCATAAAAGATTAGAAGAAATATTTGTTTTGATTCGTTTTAATATTTTTAAACAATAATAATAAAAAACATCACTCAGTGGTGCCTCCAAGGGGTGGCTATGTGGGGACCATGGCCCCTGCTGGGAAAATGCTACCACCCAATACTTAATTCCCATAAGTCTGAACCGGAAGTGATTCAAGCCATCTTAGTAGACATGCAAATGCACAACAAAAATAAAATAAGTGGACACTCTTCACCGATGTTCACATGCCCAAATTCATGGTGGAGAAGCTTCGCAACCTTAAATCCACAGATGTATACAATGTTTATGTGGATTTGTAAAGGACATTCGACCACATCACGTAAATAAGGTTCTGGTGACTGACAGATTAAGTTCATGTCGTAACATACACATAGGCTACATGCCCGTCTTAGCTGGCAGGTAAAAGCTATGTTAGCTAAGCTAATTTTGCTAATTTGACAACAAGTGCAACAGTAAATAATGGGATAGAGTACTCAAAAATTGTGATCAACTAATAGTTATGTACTTATTTATTAGTTAAATAGATACCAAGTGAGAGCTAGTTCTCAGTTTGTGGTTTGTTTATTGTTGCTATAGCAACTTTCTGCCAAGATGTCTGCCAGTTACAAAGTTCCCAGAAGTGTGACACGTCACATGAGAACTGAAGTTTTTAGGTGACATGACACTTCCAGGAACTTTGTGTCTGGTGGCCATCTTGGTAGGTACCGAAATACCTGTCATGGCAGTTGCTATGGAGTTGCTATGACAACAATAAAAAGCCACAAGCTCAGTAGTCCTCTCGTTCCGATTTAACTCCTAAGTACATTTAAACAATTTGCTCAAAACTTTTGAGTACCTCTAAGTATTACGAAAATATTTACTGTAGTACTTACTGAGGTAAATGGACATGTAGCCTACAAGTATGTTACATGTATTCTGAGTCACCAGATCCTTGTTATTCATGTGAAGAGTTTGTACATCCTTTTACAAATCCATTGAAATGTTATAGTTCATCTGCTTTGCACTGCATTTGCCTACCAACATGGGGCAGATTGCATCTTGTTCAGACTTATAGGAACTTTGTTTAGACAACAAAATCACATTCAAGGGCACTAGTACAACTTTTAAATCCAAACCTTCTTACAAAAATGTTGGATGCAATTAAAATTTTTCTCCAAGTGTTCTGGTAACCTTCTGTTGTAACTAGGACTGCCTCTACTCATTGACTTGTACACTAAAGTACTTCTTGGTTCACCCAAATCTGCTTTTAATTTCAAATGAGGACTGAGCCAGATTCCACTGTCATTGCTTTTTCCAGTTTTCTTAAATGGAGCCCAAAATAATGAACTGGAAAAAATTAACAAAAAAAACTATTTGACGGTTTGGATCCATAATTCCATTATTACAAAAGACGATTTAATTAAAATAGTTCCTCAGTTTACTGATCAGTAGTGTTAGGGCCACAAAGTAAACTTAAAAAAATGCAAGACAGAAATTACGAGAATTTATATTACAATAAATTTATAATGCTACAAAATAGTCAAAATTACACAAAGTCGCGTTATGAGAATAATCAGAAGTCAAGTCACAAATAATCTCATAATGACCTATCTTGACTTTATTCACATTCTAATACTGTTTAAATTTTGGCCCAAGTAATTCTGAACTTAAGTGTTTCAACATTTTTCCAAATTAGAATATAAATTTTGTTAAATTTTATGACTAAAACATTAACATAATTTTTATGTTGACTTTTCCATTTGGTCGATTTTTCAAAGAAGCAAAAATAATGGATTATATTAGCCTAATATAAATATTTACATTGCAAACTAAAATAATTGGCTTTTGTTACCTCGCAGCACAACCGCTCACCACCAACATTTACCCAGAGAGTAAGACGCAGATAGAAATCAAAAACTTTATTACAAAAATAAGTTACACTCACCTCCATTTTACAGTATAAAACAATTTATTTGCAGGAATGCAAAAAATGTTGTTGGCCACCAACAATAGTTTAAAACTGCTAACATGTTTTTTTTTGTTTATGCATGTATGTTTTTTTTTCAAAAGGTGGTTGTTATGTTTTTTTTTTACTGAGGGAGTTAACTGTATAGAAAACTGGGATTGACAAACAGTTTCCTTTATGCTATACTTGGAAACAAATCATTCACTGCAGTATCCCTTCTACCACTGTGGGTCCGGGATCCCTTCTACAACCACAGCAGCTGGAGTTAGGCACGCTTTCTGACTGCAAAATATGGCAATTCAGTCATCAGGTCGACTACGCTGGGCGCCATTTATGATGCAGGAAGGGATCATTCGAGATGATCGTGATTCTACATGATGGTTTAGAGTTGCTGACATTATTCTGATGGTGTTTGAAAATGTGTTTCATGAATATAAAAACCCTCCCAGCAGAATAAAACAGTGGCACAAAAGGGACACTGCAGGGCCTTAATTTTTGTATTTTTTTGTATTTTTTTTAAATCAAAAGGCATTTGGATGCCTTCCGATTTTAAGCCTTTACAAAACGTAACATTTTCCGAAAAACTATACAACCAGTAACTACATATTCTGAAGAAGCAAGGCAGCTAATTCAGTTCAAAATACGATAAAAGCAGGGCTTGTTTTTAGACTCATCTCATGAGATTGTTTTGCATGCCCAGCTTGACTGTTTACAGCCTGCAGAGCTGCAGCGAAAAGGAGTATATTACATTAAGTACATCGTTTTAGCGCTGCAGCTCTTGTGCATATTGTTTGCAAACAAGCCCTGCTTTCATCTATATAGTTTCCCTATTTACAGTACAGGCCGGGTAGTTTAGTCCTCTGTACTGAGGTAGTCAACCAACCCTTAAAGACCAGTTCTGAAAAGAACCACTTTCCTGGAATGCCTGACTTATCCATGCCAGGTGGGTACACCCTAAAACCCTGCAAATGTTCGATTTCAAACATCCAGATCAAACAATAACATGGATATTTCGACAATAAAAATTGCGATTAACACAAAAATATACAATAGTATCAAGCTCCTTTGAGCCACTTCAAACCTAACAACTTAAAAAGTGCAATTTCTTCAATAATTATTCTGTTTTTTTCTTTTAAATGGCATGTTCGGGGGCAGGGAAGGGGCAGATTGTAAGGGCAATTCATAGATAGAGCCCTGAGAACCAGGGCGACGAACTGGCTGACATGGGTTTATATTCAAAAATCATCTGATCATTTTCTTTTAGGGTGGCGGTTTCTGGGGGAAAAGCAAAAGTAAAATGGGTGGAAGAGAGATGTTTCTTCTTCTTCTGTAAGGCTGGAATTTCACTGGACCTTTGTTGTCACTCTTGTCATTTCAACATCCATTGCAGCTTATGGTGTAAACCCACACATCGAGTCAGTCTCCACTGGGACAGGTCAGGAACGCCCTCGGCCCCGTTTCCCTGCTGAACACGGAAAAAGAAGGGGGGAAAAAAAAAACCACCAATTACACCCAGGTATGGACTAGGACAGCCTGGGAACGCCTAAATGCATCCAACGTAACTACCTTAAAGAATTCACATTAAACACAGTATGTCACGTATTAGAAATATTTGATAAAATTGTCACTACGTCTTTCTCAGCGGCAACTAGAAACAACCAATCAGAGCCAGGAGGCGGGTCTTAGCACTGTCAATCACCCTCCCCTCTTCCTCTCTGCTACACTACAGCGAGCACAGTTTAGCCATGCTAACAAAGCTTAGTTAGCATAGCCACCGATTGTGAAAGGTGTTTCTCCACCATTACAACATTTAGCAGTGCATTCATGAGCTTGATTGCCTGCGCCAAGACTCTCTTCCTAGCTCTGATTGGTGTTTTTGGTGCACCACATGACGACAATTTTAACAAAGATATAAAACACTTAAAAAAGTTATAAACTACAGCTTTAAGCCTTAAATTTTTCATTTTTTATATTTTGCACTTAAAATTTATACATGCAGCCAATGTGAAAAATTCAGAAAAACTCAAAATTGTAAATTATTAAATCTATTTCCATAAAGGGAAAAACATTTTCAGGCGAATCAGGACAAAACTGAAGGTTTAATAATTGGTTATGACTTTCAGAGAGAGAGAATCATAAAATAAATAGGTCAATTGAATCTAGAAAAGGTTTTCATTACATCAAATCAAAATGCTGCCAAGAGATTCTGGTTTCCTTTAATCACTTTAACCAAAAAGACGTTGACTTAAAGTTGAGGCTTTGACTCACTGAACATTTTTAAATTGTTTACCCTTTTTGTCATGTAAAAGTCTCTGCCCCATCTGCTGCTTTTTAATAACATTTTTGTTGCTTTACCATTTTCTTTTACAAATATATTTTTCAGTTTTTTTTTTTTTTTACCAAATAGAATGGTTTTCTGCTGCTTTAATTTTTAATTTGCATTAGCAACCATTTCAAATGTTATTTTGTTTTAAAATTTATTTTAGAGGTTTTGTCTCCCTCTAGTGTTTACTCATTAACATTAGTCCAACAAACAACTTCTTTCAACCTTACGTAGTTTTCATGATTAGACTTCAGTTCATTTAATTGCCTCCTGCCGTTTTTGGCTCCCTCTCTGCATATGAAACGTCCTCAGATAATATAATAAACTGAAATATTCCGCTGAACTTCTGGTACCTCTGATTGTTCCAAGGCCTCCGCGTTGAGTGAAGCCCAATCGGCCCCTGGGTGTGATGGCCCCACGGCCCCTGGTCTGGCTGGCTCCTCCGCGGACGCCTCCTCTGGCCCCTCTAGCCCCTCGCACAGACCCTTGGAAGTCATCGTAGCCGTAGTAGGGGTCGTCGTAGCCTCCCCGGTAGTTGTGGTAGTCGTATCCGTAGTAATCGTAGTAATCTTCATAGCCGTAGTAATCATGGGGGTAAGAGTAGCCGCCCCTCCCTCCTCTTGCTCTGCCTCTTGGTGGCGGCATGTGAGGCGGCCCATAGTAGTAATATTCATCATACCTGGGGAGGAACACCAACGTTTCTTACAACAAA